GTGTTTTCTTGTTGTACGGGAAGAGCTGGAAAGTCCCAAAAATTCAAATAGGGCGTGCCGCGACAGCTCACCATTTTGAAGGGTCGTTCGCCGCTTTCTAGCTTGTTTCATGCCATGAAAACGACCTGATTTTTTTTTGCGACGTACGACAAAGAACGGACTTTGCTACAGAATACGAACCTTTGGTGAAGTGATCGACCGCGATCAGGCTCTAACTTTGCAGAAGTGAAACTTCACTGAAGGAAGGTGGCGACTTTCATAAGGTCAGCGGCTGGTCTAGCTTTTCGTAACCAGGTGGATCTGTTAATGTGGAAAAAGTACTCCTGATAATGTGTCAAACTACTCCTAGAACTCTGGCACATATGCTCGAAATTCCTCATTATAAAGGAACCGGCTCGTCCCTGACAGGTAGCTCGGACGCACATTCCACAACCAACCCTGCAGAAGTTGGACAAGATTGGCTACGAATTAGTCCTGCGAACATCCTACTCGGTAAGACCTTTTGCCTATAATTTGTCACTTTCTCGACTACCTGGATAGCTTCTCCAAAGAGTTATGCTTCAAAAACCAACATGATGCGGAAACGACCTCCGCCGGGTTCATCGTCTCTAGAGCTCCAGTATTCTGCACTACCGGGCTGATTCAACGCAGCTGTTATTGGCAGAGGTTTGTGGATTCTAACAGTCTTTACTCCAATCAAAAAGGTTTCGAATGAGCCGAGAGGATAGGAAATCAGCTCGAAAGCGCAGAACTTTATTACACGAGCTATAATATCAAGTGGAAGATTGATGGGGTATGGATGCAATACAGCCAACATCGCACTCAATCACTGTGTTGCAGTTGAAATGGACCACCTGGTGTGGTCAAGTGGATACAGGGTCATCCGTCCGTTCGACAAAGTCCAACGAGAGGGGGGGTCGTATTTGAGGAAGCGTCGACGTTACAGTAAGGGAAGTGATGATGCAGTTGGTTGGCGCGCCAAAATTTTGCCGCTTGAAGTGGGCGGAGTTCGCTGTGTCGATGGTCCAGGATCGAATACGTGGGAATTAAGGCCATGATGGCCGAATGGCAGGCGCGCGGTGAGGAAAGGTTGAACCGGGGAGGTGGTTGTATCGAGCTTGAGTGGATAGGGGGTCGTAAAATTTTCGAAATCGGTCCAACGTGACGGTTGACCCTGAGTGGATAGCGTGGTGGCTCGAACTGACACGGCAAGAGCTTTATGGTTCGGACCCATTCTACGAGGTCTTTACATTGATTGTCACCTCGAAATCGGCGCCAAATTGGTCTAGCGTCAAAAATGACGCCGTATTCAAAGTCAAGACCATCTCTAGCCCCCGCAAATGGGCTTTCAATCAAAAACTGACGGAATGAATTCGCAGCGCCAATAGGCGCCGACGCCGGCACGAACTTCATTTCAGTGATAAGGACCCCTATTTACCTCCGTGGACCAAATTTTATGGAAAGATTTTGACCCAGCTTCCAAAAGGGGGAGGGTGACCTTGGGCTACAGGTCGTCATGCAAGCCGGCAGGCGAATTGAGGAGAGCGCGGAAATCAAGCGGAATGCCGTGTTGGTTCACGGGAACCAATGTTTGACTCCATAGGGAACATCTTCCAATACGCCCTTGAAATCGCTCCAGCTATCGAGATGCAGCCTTGCGAGTGGAGGAGCCGTGGACCCAATTACCACGTCTTGATGGAGGGAAGAATCTGCCGACTTCAAAATCATGGTGTCCTGCTTGTCCATTACCAGCTTGAGGTGTCTGCCATTGTCCATTCGGTAGTGGAACTTCCATCATCTGAGAAGGACAAGGACTCGTTTGCGGTTCACCTGCTGGAGGTACCTTTGAGCTACTGTCTTATCAATGGCGAATTTCCGGAACTCGGTCAGGTTCTCAATCTTTCTTAAACTTCTAATTTGGGGAATGTCGAGTGTGCTGATCACGTAAATGACACCTATTTTCTGCGATAGCTCCAACTTACGCCACTCATGCGCCATTTGGCGCCACAAGTTTTTCCTGCTAGATTACGACGGAATGAATCAGACCAGGAAAAGGTCATCGGGCCAACCCGGCCAATTGAAATGAGGTGCACATTTCTGTACGCAGCATGAGACGCTGAGCTCAAATCTGCTTTCCGTATCTGCTGAACTCTTCTCTGAAAGGAGTTACGGAGGGTTTTCTCTTCCGCCCTTACTTTTTTGTGTTTGCCTGCAATCACAGTAGGCTTCGTTACAAATGTCACGATGATCCAGCTCTCCTAGCTTCGCTGGCGCAGGTGGTAGCGGTCCTATTCTCGAGTAAGGGTTGCGGGTTCGGTTCCTCCTGAAGTTTGTTATTTTGCTTTCTTTCAACACAGCTAAAAGCATTTTTGAATCCGATATTTTATTAACGGTCCCTCCGAGGCTACATATATGAAGTGTGCAAGCAGATCCTCTTATGTTTGAGCACTACTTCCCTAGAGTGTTCATGGAGCATGTAGTGCAGGTTCTAGGCTTTTCCGTAGCAAATAGGTGCGATATTCGATTTTATGGGATCAAATCACCCTTAACACGTTGACGACCGTGTGGTATGATGTCATACCACACTCTTCGGCCACGTGGGACCGTGTGACATGATGTCATGTCACAGTATTTTTAAAGTTGGTTTTCAAACATTTTGAGGTAACTTATTTACGTGATGTATGCGCCATGTCAACAGACATTGTTGACAAAAGGCGTGGTCCCTGGAAAGAAGCTTCGGTTAATGGCATCGAGTTTTTCACAAAATGTTTGAATAATGATCAGTAGTCGCACTTTTTGTGCTTAGGCTGAAATTGATCGGTACAAAAAATGTTTGCAATAACAATTTGCTACAGTGGGTGAGGACACTTTTGGTCGGATACGGACATATGCGCGTGCCTTTGATCCTGCATGGTTGTAGCCGCTACAGCGTTGTTTGTGAACGTTTTCCTTTGCCTCCGTTCCTCCTTTCCCACAAACTTCCAAGTCTATGAGTGGTTTTCGACATTACATTCGATGTAATCCAAGCTGATCAAAACTATAAGCTCGAGATAAGGGGACAAGGAAGTAATTCTAGGAAGGTACCTCTTAACCGCACGTTAGCTTTGGCCTTTCTAAGCACTCTCAAATCGCAGTAGTTATCTGAAATGACCAAAATCGCAAAGCGCGAGGCCTAACACACAAGAAAGATAACAAACAAATAGTTCCCCAAACGATTGTATTCTCGTGAGACCGTGTGACATGATGTTATATCACATCCGCGCGGTCAGAATAATGCGCGCGGTCCCACACGCCAGACAGTGAAAACGAGCACGGTCGTCAACGTGTTAAAACAGGTTTCTGGCCATCCAAGAAATTGAGAGAAAACGGAGCAGCCACAAGGCTACCGCTCCCAAACAGCAATTCTAGAGTTGACCAACTATGGACGACGGGGCAAAGGGAGAGAGGGTTGTACTGGGTATGATGCCTTGTAGATCCTAGAATGATGCAGACGGACAAGCCAGATACAAATTTTCATCTTTTCTGTAGTGCTTTAAAAGGTTTATTACCATTATAATACGAGGATTTTGCAATGAATTAACGAAAGAGTAAGTGACTGTTTTCGACGTTAGGTTAAAGTTTCAGGTTTGGCTAAAAATTTGCTCAAAATGTGGAATCCTACTCCCTGAATATCGCACTTGTTTGGAGCGGAAGTACCTGACGCCTGCGCTACAAGGCCCAGAGAAACAGAAACAAGTGCAGCCAAATTCCTACAACTGACTTTAAAATGATTGGCGGCTAAGCTTGGGGCTGGCCGCTCAACCAGGGATAACCTTTCTTAGCAGTTACTACTGACAAACGAAAATGAGTGAAGTCGCCAACGTGAATGAACCAGGACCTCTTGTCTGTGAGTCCAGACCACTGCCGCTGCGCTTTTCTGCTTCATAAATCCTTTCAGAGAAGCGTTCAGGAGATAACGAAAGCAGATTCGATTAGCGATGGCTTTTATCATGAGCTATTTTTATATCTATTATAGGCGCTGGCGCTACTTAGGCGCTTTTGGAAGCTCCAACCTAGAATAGAAAAATTTTGTCATCACGAGGGATTCAACCTTGGACCATTCGTTCACCATTTTTAGCCTACGCAGGGCCGCTCCCCAGGCGAAATAATGGACCTCGAATTTGAAGTCCATGCGTGAGCTCCTAACATGCAGAAAACACTTTTGAACCCGAAGAACCTCCCTTGCCAATGTTCTACACCCTTTCTAAATGTAGAATAACAGTAGAAAAACGAGATTCCCCAGAGACTCGGACATCATGTCTGCTGGTGGTGCTATCTCGTATATAAATGAGATACTGTGTCCCGTGCAAGTAGCCTTTATACATGGAATAGCGCGACCTGGAGACGAACGATCATGAGGGAATTCTTTTTTTTTACCCTGTTCTTTCCAATTTCTTCGGATCAATTGCACTCGTCGATGTTCCTTATTTCCCAATATTTTTCAAGTAGGCCATACTTGCCACATTGGGAAGTGGGAGTCATTCTTTCGTGTTGTAATCCTGAATATTACCACTTTTGAATATATGTGAAGGCGGCCATTTAAACCTGAATACTCGGAGAAAATGCGAATTATGGAGTCTTTTCACACCGTTTGAACATCTACTTCGGTAGAGATTGTTTCACGTAAAGATCGAGACGGTGTTAGATATAGTGGCGAGATCAATGGCACCGCCCGATATCCTCATTTGTGCGTCCCCTCGCCTTGAGCAGATAAGGGAATGCCGCACAAATGGAGTATGAAACATATCGAACACACCCACCCATATGCGTGACCTCCACTTTCACACCATAGAACAAATGTCTAAAAGTGTCACCAGAACCTCAGAATTCAGGCAACGTTCTTGAAAACGCTGAGCGCAAAATTACGGAAACTGAAAGTCTGGAAATGACTGCTGTCGGCAAGGCTCTGTGCTAATTGAAAGAACTGTGTATAAAATTATTTAGTAGCAGAGATGGAATGTTCAGCGATTGCGGCGCGGTTTTTGACTTTCCTCGACAGGAATCCCTGGCAGACTGACACGACTCAAGTCAATTTCGAGAGAATTCACTCCTAACTCGACGGCTTCATCGCGAATGTTTGCATAAAGTGGCGTTGAACTGAAAAGGAATATGAATTAAAGGGATGAAATCACCGAAAAGGTACAGTGAAAACACTCACAGGTAACGTTCTCCAAAACTAGGCAGGACAGTGACGATAAGTTTTCCAGCCATTTCAGGACGAGCGGCAAGTTTGCAAGCTGCATGAACATTAGCACCAGAAGAGATTCCTTCAAATAAAGAAGTCTCAAGTATTAAGTTAGGCAGAAGGAACAATAGATAAGTTGTAAAACGTTCATGCATACCACACAGAATACCCTCCTCCAGTGCCATTCGTTTAGCCATCACTATCGCTTCATCGGAATGCACGGTAATGACGTCATCATATATGGCTGTGTTAAGAACAGTTGGAACGAAACCAGCCCCGATACCTACAAAAACGTTTGCATTCCTTCACGACTGACTGCTAATAGCTAGTCTTGTTACATTGTAATCGATGACGCTTTACTGGTGTAAGATAATAAATCCAATCAGATGACACGCCTGCGCCTTCAGTGTGAAGTGTATTGAAAAAAAGCAAACAAAGGAGAAAAAGGCACTTGAGGTTGCCCCAACATATGTGTTCACCTAGAGAGAGAGTTGCCATTACGATTCAAGAAAAAAAAACTTTCAAAACCTGACAAGAAAACTCATTTCACTTTACTGTAAGGAAGATACTAACTTCAAGCCCATGGCTGAACCCTTTTAGAGCATGGTTACAAAAAAAACTTGAATGAAAGCGGAACACAATGTGCGGCTCACCAAGACTCGCGGCGAAATCTATGTATAGGGTGAGGTACAGGGTGTGGGGGGGGAGGGCAGCAGTAAAAAAAAGAACCACTCATCCTGCTTCAAAACGGAAAAACTGCACTTTGCCAGATTCGAACTTGATGCTTCCTTCGGAGTACTAAAGTGCGGGTTTCATTCAATTAGATAAACTTCATAACTAGCCTGCAGGTGACTAGTAAAACTTACAGAGTAAAAGGCAACAGCACTTTTTTTTAGCTTCTTTTCACTTACAAGATGTTCCTACTCTCTCCTGAGCCCAGTCCTAGAGAATGCCCTCGCATTCTGCATTAGCACCAGAAAGACTAGGCAGCGTTCAGAGTTGGTGACCGTACACGCGATTAGACGATGATTTAAATAGAAAATGTGATTAGGCGATTAGGCGAGTAGGCGAAAAGAGAAGAGCGCGTACTGATTTGTTGCTCCGCCAATTGAGCGATCGCCTACGCCTACTCACGTAGTCGCCAGCTCGCCTACTCGCCTGATTGCCTGACCGATGCGTACCATTTCCCTACAGACTAGTCGCCATTGTCTGATCGCATGTACAACCGCCAACTTTTAACGGTGCCCCAGATGTTACAAACTTAGGCAAAAAACAATGGAACGCGTAAGGATGAAACTGTTGACATTGTGTACACACGTCTTAACGCCTTCTAAGCTTTAACCAGTAACTAGCAAGTCTGTAAACACGAATTCACCAGAATGCTACGTTTAATTAGTAATGCCCCCGTATATTGCGATACCACCCCAACTATTTTTCACGATACATATACGACTCCTCTGCTAGTGACCCATACATCTCTGCTCTAGCTGTGTGAGAACGAAGGCTTCGCAAGCAAGTGCAAAGGTATACGAAGTTCTAAATATGAACAATTACATCGATTGAAATATGAAACAGCGCTGACGTAGCGTACAGGAGCAACCAGAACAAAGCAACGTCAGCGATCGAAAAAGCCATTCAGAATAAAAAAAGAACCGAGAGCGTGTTTGAAACCTGACACCTAGGACGAACCTTGAATACGATGAGGGCCTGGATCACCCCCGCTAAGCACTGGACTCTCCACTGGTTCCACCGCATAGACCTAAATGAGTTACTGACGAAATCGCAGAAACAGCCATATCTTCAAAACTTTATACCTTCACACTGGGATTTTGCTCTCTGAGGTACTGCCCAACTCCCGTGATGGTTCCTCCGGTTCCAATACCGAAAACGCATGCATCCACCTGATTGAGGCAAACATCTGTGACAGAATCTAGGAAATGAATAGCATATTTGAACAAACCTTTCCACGTGTTTGCCTCCAAATTTCACAGCATTGTCGTCAGTAAATGAATACTTGAGGTGGATACGATGTCGAACTACGAATAGCATGCAGCATAGCCACTCATATAGCAAATTTTCCAAAGACTGAACACCGAATAATTCAAATTCAATAATAGCAACCTGTGCAAGAATGAAGCTATTAGGGATATTCTCATGCAGCTCATTAGCACGCTGGATAGCTCCTTTCATTCCAAAGATTGGATCCGTGAGAACAAGCTCAGCACCATAAGCTTTCAAAAGAGTACGCTGAAAATGAGAGTAATTATGACAGAAGTCGTGATTGCGGTACTACGGAGGTCCCTCACATAGAGGCAGCTCAAGAAAAAGAAAAGATTATAGTGCATGAGGAGTCTCAGCTATCCTCAAATATCGGAGGATACCTGCGAATCCGAATTGAAAAAGGTATATCAGACAACCCACTAAAAGAATAAATTGCTTCTGCACCAGGGTAACTCCCACTAAACCTGCCTTTAGTTCTTGTCAAGCGGTCTCATCCAGTAAGGGGGGCATCAAGTGGCTGCCCTCACCCCCCCCCCCTAGACTGCCTACACTCCCCCTGGCGCACAGGTTTCTCGAAGTACGGGACCCCGTGAGCCAGGGGAGTGAAGGCAGTCTAGGGGGTGGGGGGAGGGCAGCCACTTGACGTTGCATCACGACCGACACAAAAACGGACCAGAAACTGATGCTATATTATCTGGCGTACGCTTAGATGTTGAATTGTAATCTGTAGTTAATAATGAGGAAAAAAACAGATACAAACCCTCTCAATACTCATGCTTGCCGGCATCGTGATGATGAGGCGATAGTTCCTAGCGGCGGCTACCATGGCCAATGCGATACCTGTATTACCGGACGTCGGTTCTATAAGAGTAGTGAGGCCAGGCGAATCTTAACGATAACGTTACGTTAGGCCGTTACTAATAAGTAGCTCTGTGCGATTTATTGCGATGCTAAATCTCCTGTGTAACTCGATAAGACCATACTTGTCGATGGAATTACGACGCTTTATCTCTGCCAACAAGAACAGAGCTGGAACTTTTGTTAGTGCCCAACTTTGCCTGGGAGGCTACCATTACTCATGACCATTTCTAAGAAAACGAAGGGACATACACCTCCCTTTCAAAAAGCCAGAAATTGTGCGGTGCAGACCATACACCACAAGTGACGACGGCCTCCAAGTAAATCTGGTTAGTAGTGGTTCATAGTGATAGCTGATTTTTAGTAAATGATAGTTGTAATTACTGTCAACTGATCGAATACAACTGTAACAGGTTAATCATTTCATTGGCAAAAAACATTTGCATTTTCTGGAGGCCGTCGTCACTTGTGGTGTATGGTCTGCACCCGACACTTTCTGGCTTTTTGAAGAGGAGGTTAGAGTTCTTGATAAGTGTAGCATCGCCGCGCCGCTATTTCTGTCAACGTTCTTTGCCGGCGGGTCGAATCTGATCGAAAACGCCAGCCATCAGTTAAGTTCAACGCTAAATAACTCACTGCAAATGTAACCCGAAATTAGCTCTCAGGTTAGACAGTTACCAGTAAAAATCATGTTCGTGACATATCATCTCGTAATTACTGTGATACTTGCTCACATCGCGGTAGCATGCCTCTCCACTCTTTTCTTTACCAAATTATCATAATGATATTTCTTGTTCCTCCAGGCGGAAGATGCGCTGACAGATTTGAATGCCAAATAAATCAAATCAAACGACTCTTTCCGAGCGTACACCACATGGTCGGCAACGTGTTAATGAGAAAGTAAACAAAAACGGAACCTTGCCAGCCTCCTCGGCGCATTGAATCATTGACAATCCAATTCGATCTTTCACCGAACACGCCGGATTCAAAACCATACTCAGGTTTTGCCGCTGTATGATTCGCCACGAATTCCAGTGATATACACCCTTTAAAGACTAGCAAACAGATGCATCGACCTGATTGTAATTCCGTGTATTCCTCGAAACCAACTTTTCTCAGTGAGAGCCAATTGGAGATATTACCCTAAAGTCGGTGACATCTTTAGCAATACCTTCCCTGGAGGCCATTCTGAAGAATGCACGATTTAAAGATGAAAAAATGCTCCTAGTGAATCGCGAGATACTCTGAAATCCCATAGAAATCTAGAGTAGTGGGGAGGAGGGAAGGTATTCTAGATTGGTGTCCGAGTCCGCGATCCGCAGCAAGGTTTCGCAGCAGGAATTGCAAGCACCCCATTTGAACATTCGAAACACTGAATATGAAGGAAGTAAAACCACGAACAGTCATTCAGCCATCACCATGCGAAGCAGAAATAGCGGCGGGATAAGAGAGTACCTTGCAGTATTGATCGGACACTTGTGGTTTCTGTGACCCGTCGCGCGAATCTCGCGAAACCTGCGACGGATCGCGGACTCTGACACCAACCCAAGAGCGCGCGTTCCAAGACATTAGGAACCACGGCGAACATTTTCATTTTGTTCAACTTCATTCTCATTCGATCCCCTTCCAGCATAAAAAAATCAGGCTTACTCTACAAAAACTGTGTGGTCGGGACAAAATGTTGCGCCGCAATGTCTCCACCTCCCAACACTGCGCCCGTAGACAAGCCCGCTCATGTTTCTGATCAAAGACGCGCACGCTGCTCTATAGGTCCACCTTTCTTGCATGACCATGGTTCGTAATAACTTCGTATAGCATACATTATACGAGTGTTAAGGTGCTATACAAGTAGGGTGGGCACGCTGCATTTTTTGAACAGAAATGTATGTAAGTGGTACTACTGCTCACTAACTATACTGTCACAATAATCGGGGAATTCGTGAGCCAAGGGGCAGTGTAGCCAATCTACGGGGTGAGGGGGGTCAGCGCAGTGACTTGACATGCGTGAGAAGCTTCAGCGTGCCCACCCTACTTGTATAGAGCCAAGTGTTATAACAAAAACAACAGCTAAACAATCTCGGTTGAACAACAATGAACTTTGCCAGGTGGACTTGTCTCGGGCGAACTTATTTCATGGATTTTAGAGCAAACAGAGTTATATACGTTGCCATTGTGAATGAACAAAACGAACATGAGGAACCGGAACACTTCAAACCAAAGGAAAACACAAATGCATTGAAGACGCCAACGTGACCGACGAAAAGAAGTGTCCAAGGGTTTGAGAGCGATAGGCGGCATCACTTGCCACGATAACAGTTCATGTTCGCTAGTTCGCGCCCGACGAAACATTTGCGCTCCAATAACGTCTAACTCGCCATAAATTTACTGCCCGATAGTTGGGAAGCATTCCCAAATGCATTAGATGATGTGAATTGAATTCCTTCCTAAAAAGCAGATAGCTCTAGCAGAGTACTAGAGTTGGGCGAATAGCTTTTTTGTGGCTATACGGCAAGTTTTTGAAATTCCCTTCAAAAATATAACGAGGTTCATGAGGTCTGAGTTTAATACCGAAGTTCGAAAGATCGAGTGACTATGGCGTTTCTGCCTTGAACGCTGCTGCGTCGTTTTGTAGAACCTGTTTGCGTTCACATCAGCAATTACTTCAGCCCTACTCGATGCTTTACCGCCCCCCTAGATATATTGTTATACTGCGACCAGCCCGGGCTATGGTTTACGCGATTCCATGCTGTAACGGTTGCCTCCGGCTCAATGTTCATGCTATTTTTGGTGTGATATACAGAACCCGATTTGCAACATGATAAAGATCATAGTAGTGACATCATCGGTTTCGTTGGTGTATGGAGATCCAGTAGGGTTGTAGGGTTGTTTTCCGTACGCAGTTGTATCCCGTTTTTCTTTGCCACCTCTCCTCTCCTTTACGTAAGCCCCATCATTTGCGTGAGTTCAAACCCACCAATGGCCATTAGTGAGATTTCGAAGTCCGATGAGTGACCACAACCGTAATGCGTGACTGGTTGGCGAGCGATGCCACGTGTCATCGACTTGTTTCGACGTTTCCTTTTATCGTTTTTCCGCGTACTCTATAACGGCGGCAAAATGGACGGTATAGAACCTGTCAATAATACGGAGCGTCTGGGCTGTATACATGTGGAGTGTAGCAGGCAGTCGAACGTGCCGGCGAGGGGTCCGGCAGCACCCTGGGGTTTGCCTCCCTCGCCCTCGCTCAGTCCATCGCTCGCCGCGGAAGCGGCGACGCTGCGTGTACCCCTGGATGTGGTTGCCCAAGGGCGGTTGTGGTAGATGGTGCTTTGTGCTTGCGAGGCATTATACCCGCTCACGTTGGAACGCGTTGGAACGTGCGGGTACACAGCGGTAGTGTAGTTGTGCGCTCCAGTGCCAACGTGGATTACGGTAGCGGTCACTCATCGGACTCCTAAAACCGGCTGTCCATGCCGAGTCAACTTTGCGACGGAGCGACTTTTCTCATATGATGGGTGAGATAAATCGCTCGGCTGTGGTGGCAGGAAGCGATTTATCGCTGCCACGCCCGCTTTGATCAATGCTGTCACGTGGGGAGGTGTCCATGCATAACCCTAGAAATCTCTATTTCTAGTAACCAGAATAGCTCCAAATGATTTTAGATAGTTTGATCCAAGTGACTGGTTACTGAATATGGAACCATCTAAGTATTATGTCAATGGATTCTTCCACAAGGTATATCGATCGTAGGGGGCGTGCAGCGATTAATCGCTCCGCACCGCCATGGCCAATGCACACTACAGCCGAGCGATTAATCGCTTCCATTATTTATGCAGATTCGCTGCAGTCGTAAAGCGTGACATCGGCCAATCCCGCGCAAACAGTGCTGCTAGCGGGGTTGACGCAGGGTCAGCAACGGCGACCGAGAAGATTTTGAAGTATGACCCCTCCGTCCATCCCTCCAGCGGCCGAATTCCCATAAAAAGGCTCTGCTAACAAGCCGAAGTATGGAAAAGTTGTTTAACCCTTCCTCTGAAAATCTTTCATTGATACCTGCTACCCCACCCTCTACCATAAAAGTCGCTCAACAAGTAGAAAGATTCAAAAAATCAGTAACAATCCTACAAACAAACAAAGCAATGAACCACAAGGAAGTCATGAAAATAGCATACTACATCTCTTCTTCCTTTATTTCCTTTGAAAGGCTTACCAAGTCTTACCAGGAAAGGTCATTAGGCCAACCCGGCCAAATGATGTGAGGTGCATCCTTCAAAACCCATCATGAGACGCTGAACTCGAATCTGCTTGTCACTATATGCTGCTAAACTCTCTCTGGAAGGAGTTACGGAGGGTTTCCTTGGCCGCCACTGCTTTTATTGCATTGCGTGCAATAACATGTAGGCTCCATTACAAACGTCCACGATGAATGATTACGCTCATGGTTAGCTTCGGTGGCGCAGCTGTAGTTGTCCTGCTTGCGAAGCAAGAGGCGTTCCACTCTTCCTGAGCGCGGAGATTGTTTTCTTCCAGAGTCCGTAGTTCCGTGCCGCAGCCAACTGCTGGACCACTGTGGAACGCGCCATGTGCTTCACATCTCTTTGTATTGGAGGACTCATTTGCAGAATAAAATATTTACTGAAAGTGTGCGAATTTCGGATTCTTCAACCTTGTTTTAGAGAATCACAGAGGCAGCATAGAGTTGCTACGCGGACCCCTTTGAACCGCAAAAATTTCATGTGGGCGGGTACCAATGTTCTACTGACCTCTCGAGGATTCCTCAAAGCACGTTTGACCCTCACCCAGAGTCCCTCCTCCCACCAAGGCTTAGTCCTAGGATTCCCCCCTTTAGTAAGGAGTTAGAGCCGAGCCAGGCGCCATCTTCTTCTCGCCTGTTGTTCTCCACTGTTCGGAGGAGCAGACAAAACACCAAGAAAAAGCCCCCGCGAGTAGCAGATCTCAAGACAGCGGCCGGCACGAGAGCATGTTGCCGGCGAGGCAGAAGAAAATGATCAGACCAGTTTTGACTATCTTACCCCAAGGAAGACTGAGCAGATGGGTAAGACAAGTCTCCATTTTAAATGTTGCGCTGGGTAAACGAAAAAAATAAAGGGTTAGATACCTCAGTGCCGCCCCAGTAGTCGAGGCAGCATAACGTTGCAAAATTTAGGTGCCCCAAAAGGGGCTCATTGTTGACAACAGTACTGGTAGAAGTGGCGGCACGCCTTCCTGCGAGATCTAGAATGAGTAGCACTGATAATCGAATGTCATTTGATCTGTTTGACACATTTTTGGAAGTCAGCCGATGGACAATTCACTGATCCTCCCAGGGAGTCCCCTTACCGTCGTATTCCATCGATAAGGGAAAGAGGTAAAAAGCTTGACTCACTTATTAGGGAAGGTCAACAGGCATTTCTAGCCATTTCCAGTAAGGTGTACATCATAGCACTTCTCTTAAAGGCAGCGATTACGATAAATTCAAAAAGCGTTTAGAGGACGTTTGTGGTGCTCAATGTACGACATCCAGCGACGAAAAAAAAGCAGAAAGCAAATGGGACCCTTTTTGCCGTTGGTTTCCACTCATGAACAGGTAACAGCTCAGAAAGCGGGCGTATGAACGAGTTCACCCAACACGTTTGGTGGCATCATGCCAAACCTCGCTTTCATGAGATCTCCAGTGGCGCGCATGCTCCAATGGCAGCCATTCCAAAAACGAGTTAAGCTATCGCAGCTCGTCCAAATCACCAACTAAACTAGTGGGCGGATCGCTTTTGGGGGCGGAGTGCTTTCGAAGTCCTGCTCAGCAACCAGCGCACCTTTCGTCGTGAAAGCGCCACACTCGCTTCCTTGGCAGCCAAGTAACTGCTTCGTGTGGTGCATATGCTTCCCCGATGCGCTCCCTCTTTATCGTAATCGCTTCCTTTGAGATGGTCTCGGAACTG